AATGATTTGATTTCTAATGGCGATAAAGGTAATTGGCCAATTAATTAATCTATTAATCAATTAATCAATTGATACATTCACTCGCACATATTATAACGGCTTGATATATAGTTTTCGTGGTTGATAATGATGGTGGACTTAAAAGATGCGGAGGTCAAGGTGACATCTTATCTGGTTTAGTTGGCACATTTTTATCATGGGGTGCATCATACAAAAACAAATTATGGGAGTAAGTATAAAAAATATTGAAATTATTGATTTTATTTATGATATTTTTATATTATTTTTTAATTAACATTAATCTCTATTTTTTTTTAATAAAAAAGACATGACGATTCAATATTATTATCTGACATACCATTGTTAGCAAGCTATGCAAGCTGTTCAATTGTAAGAGAATGTTCAAAGATAGCTTTTGAAAAATTTGGAAGGTCAACTCAAACTTCTGATTTTCTTGAAGAAATTGGTCCTGTTTTCAAGAAATTTTTCGTCAAGTAAAATAACAAATAACAATACAACAACAATAATATTCTATAATCCCATATGTTTGCTAAAAATCAATACATGAAATTTTTTATATTTTACATATATTCACAAAAATTCAATATTTCTATTTCTTATAAATAACAAATAATCTAATTAATATAAATAAATTTTTTTCTTCATTTTTCTTTACGCTTATCATATTCTTTAACTTTTTTCCAAAGTTTTATTCTATCAACCATTTCTTCTTCAATTTCAAATCTCAAAAATTGTTGTACACTCCATCTCTCGACAACTTTTTTAACTGATCCAACCAAATCACCGACATCTTCATCACTTTCTTCAAGTTTCAACGCTCCTCCTAGAATTATAGCACGCTTATAAACCATTTCTTGTTCATAAATATCTACTATACAATTTATATAATAATGTGATAAAGATAATGATATGTCTGCTACATCATTAACATCACTATCATTATTATTACTCGTTGGATTTAAATTGTTTGATTTTGGTTTTGATTTTTATTAATTAGTTTGATTGGAAAGAATAAATAAAACGTATATATAATAAATAAATGTGTGAAACAATCATTTTTTTTTGGAAATTAATGAAACCAAGTTTAAATGAAAGAATTAAAGTTGGTATCTATGAATGTTTCATACATGATGTTTCAAAAAAATATTTTTGGGTCAATAAAAGAGAGAGTTTATTGGTGAGCAAATAAATGCACGAGAATGAGAAATTTATCAATGTTGACAAAACTAATAAATGACAGAATTAACTAACGTGTAACTCACTTTTGTCTGTCACAAAAATTGGAAATCGTGACGTCTACATACATGAAGGTTATATAAACTGTAAAATATTAAATATTAACAAAATTAATGATTTTCTTTTTTAATTATAGAATCTGATTTTGATCCAGATAAAGGTTCATTCAAACAATTTCTATGCTATCTACCAAAACAAAACAGAGATATACTTGTTGAATTGTTTGATATTTGTGCACAGGTAACTGCTGAATCACACATAAACAATATGCCAGTTGAACGCTTAGTTAAGACATTGGCCCTTTGTATTCTGGGTGATAAAGATAAACCACTTGAAGGTTTTGAAGGAGCCTATAACGAGTGGACAAAATGCTCTCAAGCTTGTCTACACTTATTCCTGGCTTATCTTCGTGAGAAAGCTGTCTCTACTGAATTAAACCCACGTCTCACTATCTTGATAGACAATTATGTTGAAGATAGAAAAAAATCTGTTACATCCGTGTACTTTAAAGCTTCTAATAGTAATGATAGAGATA